AAAAATCGCCTTCGAGCGAGAAATGTTCCCCAGACCACTGCAGTCAGCTTGGAATTTGCAGTCGACGAACCCCACCCAAGAATGCAGCATCGAATAGCTGCGTCCGCCTTGCCCCTTCTGCTTTGTGTGCGAATCTCGGAACAGCTGGGGAACGGCTGACGACGCGATGTGCTATGCCACCGCATAGCCGACCTGCGCTTGCCCTCGGAGGTCAGGAAAGGGACTGCGTTCCATACGCGAGCCGCGTCAGCAACGCGTGAATGCCAAAAGACATTAAACCATGTCTTAGCAAAAATAAAAAATAAAAAATACCATACGTACCCCTTCCCCGCTTCCAAGAAAAAAAAATATACACATATATTTTATGCTGCTGCAATTAAAGGCCGACATACAACCTCGGTTTTCTGTAGGGAAGACAATCCTATTAGCGCTTCCCTCTCCTAAGCTGCGAGGGGATCCAAGTTGAGGCAAGATGAAAATGTGGAGGAGACAGTAAAGGGGGAGGCGAGCAAAATTGGAAAGAGCGAAGTGTACGTCGGCCTTTAAGGGCGCTGGCTGCCTTTCGTGGGGAAAACAACCAAGAAGAATTCAAAAGGAACGCACACACACACACTGACGAATTTAAAAAAAAAAAAGAAAAAAAAAACAAAAAAAAAAAAACAATCGAAGCTTAAGGTGGTTTAAAGAGAGGTATTCAGCCTGTTGTACAGTCAGCTTCCCAGCTAGTGCTTCTGTTGCAGATCGTTAGTTTGACCAGTCAGTATCACCGCTAACCTCGAAAATTTTCGAAAAAAATTAAAAGAGAGAGAGAGAGAGAGAGATCTGGTGTGTGCGAAAGCACTATTGAGCCTAAAGCAGACGGTAGTGAGGAAACCCCTCCCCTCTTCTGCAAACGCGAGAGCCTCTGCTTCTTCATTCATTTGATCAACATTCTTCCCACTTCTGCCCTCTTTCCGAGTACAGCCCCAGGGACACGCACCGTACAAGACGAGATGTAAAGACGGATACTTCCGATGACCCAACTTGACGCTTCATTACTACTACTATTATTATTATTATTATTATTATTATTATTATTATTATTATTATGATGATGATGATGATGATGATTATTACTGATGAAATGACGCCTCCAGTACCAGCTCGCCTGCAAACAGCACCTTGAGAACTCTGGGGCGTCGCACCAGCAAGTACCCTGCACCTCCACCACGCTGCGAGGAAGATCGGGCGACAAAACGGACTGGCAAGCGGCGAGATTTAATCCGCCGTTGTTTAGGCGCCAGCGCTCGCTTTACTAGCGCCATCATGATGAGCACAGTTAAGTTTGGTGCCGACGATCGAGTTACACTATTATTATAACTCGCTGGTGCGGTTTCTGACTTGTGCCGTTTCTATGGCCGCAGTGCCGCACTCAGCAATCGGGTCAAATTCCGAGCGGTCGCACCTCCTCCATTGTTGTCCGAGGGCGCCTTGGTCCGCGCTCACTTTCTGCTCGCTCCTCGGAGACCTCTCGGAGACTCGAGCAGGAAGTGGGAGGAATGCTTCCCGTTCCCTGGGCGGGACCCCACGGGTTCCAATCCTGGACCAAGTGAAGCTACACTACGATTCTCTCGCGGGCGCCGCAATCATGCAGAGTGCAAGATTACAGAGCGATTCGGACAAGCCGCTTCCTGAGCATCAGATACGCTGTTCAGGCTGTAGATCGTTTTGCTCTGCTCTGCTCCTACAACTGCAGTCACTTAGAGCTGTCAGAAAAGAGACTACATCCTCGCCTATGAACTATAATTTCTGAATTTGTTTTACGGGCTGTCCGAAGTGTAATACGTCTTCTTCACTTCTGTATTTCTTTTTTTTTTTTTTTGTATAATTATATAGTATTTTTGCGCAAAAGCATCTCCATTCTTTCGCGGGCCTGTACGATACTTTGTATTTGTTTCATGCGCGATAAAACTTGTTATATGTTGTTGATACACTTTATTATGACGGGGGTGGTTCGACGCCCTGGAAGGGAAGGGTTAGGAAAACAAAAAGGTACATTTCTAAAGTACGGATAACCGTTTGCTGAGATTTGACAACAAGCTGGAGATAACTCGAGAGCGTTCTTTTAAGCAGCAAGATGGCTCGAGTGTCGCTGCTCTTATTTCGTGGCTCTGATGCCCGCCACCCGACCGAGGCTCCCAGCGGCTTTGTGCGTAAACGAAACGGTAGGTCGTGCCACAGGCCTCCGCTGGGCCGTCCCAATGCACTTCGCTGGCTTCGAGCGTAAACCGAGAAAAAACATTCATTTTGGTCCCCCGTCTCGCGAGGGTAGATCGTTACCCGATGAAAGGGTGCAACGTGGTACTACTTTCCTTGCCCCGTCGTCGAACATAGGACGACACGACGACATGAGTTACGTGAAAGCGACCTATAGGTGAGGAACTGCTCTATGCGTGGGGTCCACACTCAACCGAATAAGCAGTCGCCACGGACTGGGATTTACCAAGCAGTGCGGTCTCCATGTTCTATATTTTTTCTACCGTTTGCTCCGATTCAAGTATGCCCTACAGAAAGTCACAGCTTGCAATTTTAGAATACTTGAGGCGCAGGACCGTCTATCCCACGAACCGTGGAGTTTCTCCCGGGACACAATCTTCGTCCGTTACATGAAAGACAAAGACAACAGAACCCAAGATGTAATCGTATTTATCCCTCGTGATAACTCGGCTTTTCTGTGAACCCTATGAGCAGGTGGCTACGCAGCTCGAAAACCGAGGTGACTGCCATGGAAATGCTGACAGTCGACAGTAGACTCGATTTCTCCTGCTTCCAAACAGACGCGATAAGACGGCTTAGAAGGCGATTCTACTCAACCGAGAAACAAATGAGTTCTCCCCAGTGGTTTCCTCAGAAATAAAAATTAAAGAAATGCCTAAATTTTTTTTTTTTTTTTTTTTTTTTTTTTTTTTTTTTAAGGGGATTAGGGGGGGGGGGGGGGGGGGGGCAGCATTGAGAATAGAGGAGTCGTTTCGAATTAAGGGGGTGCCTTCAGAAAAACAAGGGGGGTGTAGGGAAATCACTGCTTCTCTCCGTGCTATTTTCGAATTAATGGGGACAGAAGAGTGATCATCTTAAAACCTACTTTGTCCTGGAGGTTTTACAATGTCGGGAGCATCCACTGCAAAGCAATCAATGCTCCTGACATGCATTCATTACAAGACAAGGCATTCATTTGAATTAGGGTGGCAATGCATGTTCCGAGTTTCGTGCCCAGAAATAACCATCTATACTGACTAAAAAAATAATGTGGTGCTCTATTTTGTTGGAGAGCCACTTAAGATAAATATTGAAATCTTGCGAAGACAGCTTTCATCCGATTAAGTCTTAGGATAACCGATTTCCCATGACCGTGAGGATATTTAAATAAACAAATAAATAAAGTGTTCTTACAGGGTAGAGACCATTCATCCTGAAATAATGCCTACTAGTGGAGACAAGAATATCAATGCATGGTGCCGGTCAGCAAATGTGATCTAAGCAGAATTATGTGAACGCTGCAAGTTTGAAACATACCAAACATGAGAAATAATGACAACAATGAGGTGGCTTGCCAATTGGGCTAAGAAGCATGGCATGAGAAGGGAGAGAGCCGCACACTGCTTCTTCGTCAGCTTTTACTTGAAGTATTTAATTTGTAGGTCTCTGCAATACTGAGCCACTGAGAGGAAAGTGAAAAGGTAATGCCAACTCTCGAATTTTTGTTTACCTCAGAGATGGACCACTTCATTTTTCTCTCCAACAAATATGTCTTACTTGAGAAAGTTCTACAATGAAGTCACAACTAAATGTTTTGGCAAAAGTACCGAATAACAATAAACACCAAGTCATGTATGTATGTATATATATATTGAGGTTTTCTTAGGCGGGAAAGGGGGGGGGGGGGGGTGTATTGATTAAACTAAGGTAGGTAAATTCTTGTGATCTACATCATGATCTACATCAATATCATGATACCCCCTTGTTCCACTTCTCCAGGGATTATTTTTGCCGTCCTTGTCCACCTCGCTTGCACATTTGCATTTAATTGCATATAAATCTTGATTGTTTTTTTCTGTAGCTTGGGTGGAAGCACTAAGCGAGCGCGTTTCTTCCAAATAATCAATGGCTGTCCGCACTTGTTCTGAAGAGCTGATGACATTAGACTCGAACAGTTGTTTACTGCATAGGGTATCATTCTGTCCTTTACTTTGCCATGCTCCCCTGTTTCTTCTAATAAAGTCACCTCTGGAGGCCCTGTGGGACTGAATTTGTTTGTCGTGTTCTCCCCAACATGTCTGATAACCTTGCATCTTCTAGCGGTCAAACCTGAGCCCATTCAACATTGCACACTTTATCAGTTTTTTGCTGTCTCATGTACATCAGTCTATAGTAAATTAACGGCCAAAACAGTTTGAAACAATGCAAAAGTATCCATAATAATCTGCTCAGAACTGCTCCACCGCCACAATAAATGAGTTTCTCGGGTTGCACTGTATTGAAACCTGGACAGTGACAGGGCTTAGCAGACTGACGTTTTGCAATTTGACCATATGACAGTGGAAAGGTCATTACATTCACTGGTAAGATCAAAAGGTGAACCTTTCGATGAAAGAAGCTTTCTGGTGTACCTCTATTCGTCACGTCGTTCTGTTCTCAACCTCAGCACTAATGTGGCAATTAGCTCAGTGGCTTGAGCGAAACATTCCAAAGCAAAGGGTGTGATGAAACATACCAAGCTTTGAGTGTCGCTGGTGGGGTCGAGAATTCGGTCACCACAGAAGAAGGCCATACCCGTAAGTTTGTGATGCTTTGCTATCTTCCTAGGTGTTGTCACTGGATAGATAACAGCCGCACGAACGTCAGGCTGATGTAACGTCATCTCACGAGTGTTGACATGGAGACTCCGAGGGAAGTGAAAGCAGACTAGGAACACGAATTTTCGAAGGGCTAGCCCGACTCGGGGCCAAGTAGATTGCACTCACCGTACTCGATGAAGTTGGTCATCGTCTTCTCCTTGCGTAGCGACGAGTTGCAGCACTCGTCGTAAAGCACCACCAGCACGTCGATGAGGCCCTCGACGGTGAAGGCCTTGCCGCTGGCCAGCACGGGCCCTCCGAGGAACATTTGTTCGAGCTCGCGTATCCGCTCCTCGGGGCAGCGGCAGTCCCCTTTCTTGGACATGGTGGCTGCCTCGGCTACCGAGCCGGTCTCCACGTCGGTCGGAGTCGGTGGACGCGATCCAGCGACGACGTCGTCAGATCCCGCGTAGGATCGCTAGGCGATCCGCGGGGCCGCCTGTATCACAGCGGACTCGGCGCTCGTTCAGTCCCCGTAGAAAGTCGACATCCTCAATGCGCCCGCCGACACCGCTGAACCGCCGAGAGAGCGTACGCCAGAAGCCAGCACCGGTCGCACCGTACTCGCGGGACATGGCTCGCAGCCGAAGTCGCTAGCGGCCCGCCATCGGGACTGATCGGTCCGCCGGACGGCAGAGCCACGGGTTGTTAGCACGAGCGATCGGCACACACGACACACACACACACATGCACAACACTCACACGCTCCGCTGGTTAGGCCTAGCGGCTCCGACAAGAGCTCCTACGAGGTGTTGGCTCTCATAGGAGGTCGGAACGGGACGTTACTCCGAGCTCCCTTCCTTGGTAAAGCATAGCTGCTGCGGTGCGGGTAAAAAATCCGGCGGTCTTGTGTGCAGGGAATATGGGGGGAAGCGTAACTGGGCACAGGAATGAAAAAAAGATACGGGGGGGAAAAAAATCGACAGCTCGCTGGCGTGAAATGACCACTCCGCGTACTCGGCAACTCTGCCAATGGCGGATCATCGAGTGGAATGACGGAATCATGGGAATTGTCGCTTTCTTCCTTCGCTGAGCTGCCGATAGAGCGCGCCCCATATCGAAACCGAAACTGAGTGAAAGGAGGCGCGAAAATATGAACATGGTAGTTTTGAGGCAGAACATAGAGCACAGAGATCGCAAGAAGCGAAAGTATGTAGGCGAGCTGGTTATGAAGCACCATTATCTGAACTCTGAGACGCGGAAAAATAAAATAACGATCGTGTTTCTTATTTTATTTATCCGTGACTAAGCGTTTAGATAATGTGTGACAGACGTTTTAGAACTACCTGCCCCCCGGTGGTTCTTGTTGTGGTTGTTTTTATGCATATTAGTTTATTTGAAGTGTGAACAAGAATAGATAACTGGGCGAGTTGGTACGTATTCACACTGAACGCGCTTTATAAATATGAATATCATTTTTTTTTTCTCGAAAGGTCGATTGTTTGAATATGAATATATTATCTTCAGAATTACTTATGATGGGAAAGCTTTAAAGGGCACCCGGTCAAAAATCGAAACAAATATATTACTGGTGTCACTTTAGGGGCACGAAATATAATCACAGCCGAAATATTACGTCAAGGTGAAGCCACCTACTTTGCTAAAGCTGATATTGAAGCACTGCAGGTTGTTGGGCGAGTTGGTACTGTGTATTCAAAAACATGACAGCGCTTGAGAGTACAAAGTTGGAGACTGGACAACGCAGAGCGCTGATCTGTGTTGTCCAGTCTCCTACTTCGTCCTTGTCTCAGGCGCTGCCATGGATGTTTTTGATATTAAAGAATAAAGATGCAACCAGCTGCTCTTGAACATGAGGCCAGTGGGTTAGCTGTCAGTCAAGCAAAACTTCTCCTTTCTTCTCCTGCAAACAGAGCGTGGGAAACTTATCTGCAATGAGGCCTGCAGCGTGGGAAACTCACGCCGCTCGCTCGTATCATCATAATCTTATGTATACCATTGATTTTAATTTCGGCGAGCAAGAAACAGAAAGGGCTCAACTTTCTGTGACATTTCAGGATTGACGAGTGCGTGGCTTTTCTCAGTGCCACGGTGTAAAATATAAAAGCGTGATCGATGCTTTTGGTATAGGCGGAAAGTTTTTAATTTGCGAGGGAGGGGGGGGGGGGGGGGGGGGGCTGCACGACGAGCCCACCGCTTCCAATACACCACATCTCAAAAAAAAAATGTACCGTGGTTTTTTTTTTGTTTTTTTTTTTTGGTTTTTTTTTTTTTTTTTACCAAATATAAACCACAGTTTGCCGAACGCTCAGTCTCGGCTCAAACGTGCAGGAACCAGATGCCGGAGTTACAGGATAAACCGTCATCCAGTGTTGGGTAAAGTACATCTAAAAAGTACTTGAAGTAAAGTACAATGTAAATTACAGGTTATGCACTTCAAGTACTAAGTACGCCGGACCCAGTGTGCTCAAAGTGTTATAAATACAACTTTCAAATCAAAGTATAAGTACTTCCTAATGTCCTTTCATTCCATTATGCAATTTCTTTTTTTTTTTTTTTTATATGGTTTGCATTGCTTCAGGGGTAATTGGGGGCAGGGGATTATCCGGGATTTCACCTTTGGGGGGATGTCGGATATGTTGTGGGGGGGGGGGGGGGGGGGGAGTTATTATTCTACGGTACTAATAGATCTAGGCTGTATAATTGAAAGCCTTGTTCAATGAACTCAACTAAATTCTAAATATCAAGAGTTTGTTGCTGCTGAGAGGACGAAAAACAAAAGATATGGTTACTTATATTCATTAAACCTTTCAATAAGCTTTCAGAGGTTAATATCGTTGTGACAATATTTTTTGGATCAAGTAATTATATATATATATATATGTGTGTGTGTGTGTGTGTGTGTGTGTGTGTGTATATATATATATATATGTGTGTGTGTAAGTGTGTGTGTGTGTGTTTGTGTGTTTAATATATATATAAACAAAGTTATCGGACAACAGATCATTCAAGCCTCACAAGGCATGGCCAAAAATCGGAGATGCATTGGTAATGATCTTCTCTACAGCTCGCGTCAGAAAACCTAGAAGATTGTAACACAACATTTATAAACGATGTTTTAAATAATAATAATAATGATAATCTTTATTTGCTCAGGACAGCCGCGGCACCGCAGGAAGGCTACAACCCGTACCTTGGAGGCCCACGGTGCCGCGTCTAGTGATGGTGATTATGTGATGATGTATTATACAAGATGAAAGTGATGGTGATTATGATATGACATGTGCAAGTGCGTTAGGCCTAGCAGCGGTCTTCGCGGTGGTGCTCTTCGCGGGGCTGTCATGGGCTGCTTAAAGTCCCTTAATTAGGGCTGCTGACTTCTAGCAGGCCCCTCCTCCCAGTATCGCTCTGTCATAGTTCCTTTGACTTGCCTTTGTTGCGGTACTGCACGAAAAATAGTTCCCTCAATGGTCCCCACGCAGATATACAGAACATAAAAAACATCTTAATACTACCCGAGCGCAAAAAGAAACCGTTACAAGGCACGACGTGGATTCTTTTTCCCAAGATATTATAAGTTTTGGTGATAAACTGACAGTAGGTACTTGTCCGTCTCCTCATCCGTGGCGTCTCTAATGTTGGGAATGTTGGGGCCTTCCACAAAAAATTTCATTAGGGCATCTACATGGTGGGAGTCAGAGGAGACCTTTCTAGGGTAAAATTCCTGTTCATGCATGGTTGAGAACGTTCCCTCTACACCAGCAGTTCCAAAGGGAAAAGGCAGGATCTTCTTTGCTGCGAAAGACAGGGCAAAAAACATGGCTTTCCTCTCGACTCCGCACGCAAGTGCCAGCAGTTCTTTCTTCGAAGCCAGGTCGCCGGGATATTTTCGGCAGATCTTATATTCGCTGACCATGTCCCCTTCGCTCGTCCCGCACATCTGATATTTTTCTGAAACCTCGATTCACCTCTCTTGATAGGAAAATTTCGTGAAATCTTGCCAGCTTTGGAAACTCGCCAGCAAACCGTTTCTGCGTGTTGTTTACAACTTTTTATTTGTACGACAAAGCTCTAGTCTTTGGAAATCTTTTCCGCTGGCCTCGTCGTCATCCTCCATTCGGATCTCATTTCTTTGTGCTTCTTGCACGAGTTCTTCAGCCTGACATTCGTAAAACCTATCATAAGCGCAGGTACGGAACTACGCACTTTATTTTGCAAGAAAGCCTTAAAATCTGGGGATCTCAGGGGGTCTCGGACCCCCCACTGATTTTAAAGGATGGTCTGAGACCTTCCACCACAGCCCCAGCATTAGTGAAATCAAAATAAATGTGACATTTGGGTATTAGCAATTTGAGGGTTGCAGGTACAGCGTGGGTAAAGTCAGCAGTGGGGTATATTTTATGTGCATCTAGTACATCTCGTCAGAACCCCCCCCCCCCCCCTTTCCCTTACCTTCTTTTAGGGACCCCCCTCAACTTACAGGAGTCTGTAAGCACTGTTTGCAAACTCAATGACTGACATCCATAGCAACCGCGTGGCGTCACATAACGGAAAGGGTCGTAGGATGGGACCAGATAGGCCTTACTGCCTTGTATTTCGTTTCTTATTATTTGGTCTGTTAAGCTGAACCACTGAAATACATTCCTTGTGATCCCCGAGCGTGTGTGCAAGAAATTGCGTCTTTTACCGGGATACTATTTTAAAATTGATGTGAGCTCCGGAGAAACCACGAAAGAGTTCCACGCACTGAAATATCATTCCTAATATGATTTTTCAGGCTCGTTGAATTTTAATAACATTCTTAACCGGGCCGCCGTTTAGACACAGTCTTCCAGAGGCCCTAAAGCGAGGGACAGGGTACCGCTGTTTTGACTATTCGGCGTGACCTCCGTCGCAGCCGATCTCAGGGTTTCAAATACTTCAATTCCAATCAGTATAAAATTTGGGCGGGAGATATGTTGCAGAGTTTGCGGTTGTTTATGTGCAGTAGGGAGGGCAATTTTTTGTGTATAATTTATTTTCTTTTGCCAGTGACAGTTGTGTACAAGGAAGGCACGGCTCGTTTTTCGTAGCAGTAACAGTAGTATTTATTCGCTCTCGTGAGCGCAGGCGTCACAGAATGGCGTGCGGCCCGTACACCAAATGGCTGTGAGGCTCGACTTGATGTTACAAAGAGCAAGCTGCTGCCAAACCAAACACCTTTCGGGCTTGCACTAACCAAATATTGATTATGCTGCACCAGTACTGAAATGTTTTTTGTTTTTGTCTTTAGACTAAGCCCACAGAGGCAGGATTCGAGTGGAGAGGTACGTATTTGACTGACCTGCAAGCTGTGGGCTTGCAGGTCACTCAAATACTGTGCTTTCGATCGCTACGTTAGGCCGCACCGAAGGTGCCAATGGAAACCTAAACTTAGTGGTTAACCGGTACCGAGAGAGTTTTGCCGTGCGCCTCACCGTCAAGAACGCTTGGAGTTTTCACAACGCTCACAAAGCTATCTCTCGGTAGCCTCGATTTGAGATTGTGGCATTTTTTCTCGCGATGTTTCATTGGTCGTTTGGAGTGACTCCATAAATTGGCTTCTCAACTTGTCCCACTATGATTTACTACTGAGGGGAGTATGAAGACATTACTCCTCTGGAGCAAAAAGGAAACATTTTTTTTCTCCGATTAAAAAAATGAAAGCCGTTTACAACTCCCTGTAACGCCGAATTAGAGCGCAGCTCTAGAGGAGGAGGAGGGAAGGGTACTGAGGTTCACGTGTTATCGGGGGGGGAGGGGTGGTCACGTGACCTTGGAGGGGTCACATGACCCCCTCGCCAAGGTCACGTGGGGGTCACGTGACCTGGGGGTGTCACGTGACCACGGGGGGTCACATGACCTGAAGAGAACATCTTCCACTAGATTTAGCGGGAAAATTTTTCCGCTAGATTTAGCGGGGAAATTTTTCCGCTAGATTTAGCGGGGAAATTTTTCCGCTAGATTTAGCGGGGAAATTTTTTCGCTAGATTTAGCGGGGAAATGTTTCCACTAGATTTA